TTTATTTATAATACAGATTGATACATCTTTTCTAATAAATATATATGTTTAATACGATAGAAAAACCCAAAATAAAATATGTTTTCGGGTCAGAAAAACTGCAATTTCTCCGATAAAGAAAAATACCACACTTTACACTACTGACGACACTAAAATGAGTTTTTATTTTCATTGAGTTGAGTTGGTGAAATTGACGGTAACAATTAACAAACCAGATGATTGCAACGCGAGCCCGACTGCACGAGATTTGTAGCAAGGTATAAGTAAGACGCGACGAAATGCGTGATTGGTTTATTGCTGCTTGTGGGGTCCTTAGCGTCAATCAGTCCACTAAATGTATGATTCTTACGCTTGTGGATGGCATTAATTCAGGCTTAATTTTTCAAATTCCTTTGTATTGAGGATACATTCTAATAGCTTCAGATTATTTTTTAAGTCGAAATTGCATTATTGAATTTGCTTCTCCTGCTGGAAATGAGATAAATTTATATTTTTTTTAGAAAAATTTAAAAACAATTTGTGCTTATCTCTTTTACCTTATAAAAATTAAGGAAAAAATTATCTCAAAATTATATTATTTTAATAAAATAATATAAAAAAAATAAAAATATTTTAATTCATGTTTTAAAAATATAATATTTTAATTTTTTTAATAAAAATTTATTGAAACAACATAATTTTAAAATAACTTTTCATCTAAAGATAAGGTAAATAGACATTATCTCCAAATTAAAACACATTTACTAAGCAGTCATGCCTTACTTACACTACTGGAAAACGCAGTATATTCGACAGCATTTTCTGTCGAATATAAAGGAATTTCTGTCGATTATAATTTAATCGACAGACATATTCGACAACTATATTTGTCGAATATACTGCAGTCGATAATCAGTATATTCGACAAAATTTTTTTCTGTCGATTAAACTTGTTTCATTGACAGAATTTTACTGTCGAATATATTGATTATCGACAGAATTTGGTAGTCAGATTTGTAATTTTATCAAGTTATATTCAACAGCCATTAGCTGTCGATTGAACTTGTTTGATTGACAGCTGTCGAATATGTTTTTTATTTTTTCTGGATTATATTCGACAGCTATTGGATGTTGAATATGTTTTTTTTTTTTTGAATGATATCTTTGATAGCCATTATCTGTCGATTAAACAAGTTTAATC